AATAAATAATTTATAATAGAGACTGCCTTAATCCTTTAACTGCTTTGAAGAATACTCGCTCGACGATATTGCCTGTCAGACGCTTTGGTGTTAACTTAGACCGCAAGTTTGTCAAGCAAATTTTTATAATTTGACTACAAATATGATTTAAAATCGAGAATGTTTAATCAACAGCAACTAATGTTTTATTTTCTTGATATTTGAGGTAAGAAAAGAAGCAAAAAGAAGAAATGCGTAAAGAAAAAATACCAATGTATTTGAATTGTTTTTTCTGTGTGATAAATTTGAAAGCATAGAACAACACAAAGGGCTACATTACAATGCTTACGATTTGACTTCTGAGAGTCTGAATAGTTTCCTAACAAACGAATTAACTCGTCTGAAGCGTCTGACGGACGATCGTCGTCCGCGAGTATTTTCGTCTATAGCAATTAACGCGGTTAATATGAGTACACGTTTAAACATAAAACGAATACGGTTACAAATTAAAATGGTAGAAAATGATAAACTGTTCTCATGAAAAATTGTAGAATATGTCAGAATAAATTAGGTTGGTGCTATATGTATATATAATAATAATTTCAAGGGTAACGAATAATCAATATCACTATTGTGACATTATTTTCCGCGCCCGGTCGATAATCGATAATCGAGGATCTCGTATCGAACGTCTTCGCAAAGTTGTGCGCGGCGACCGCTCCGATCGTTAACAGTCAGTCGGAGAGAGCAAGTCGAGCAATACATCGCGCGTTCACTAACGAGTCGCGCAGGTGATCAGATTATAAGACAGTATTAAGAATTACGTTCATTCGAGATACGAGACATTTAACGAGTTATATACGAATAATCGGTATACGGGATAGAGTTAAGAGTTCATATTTGTATCGTCCGTTATAACTTATATTCATTGCATCGCTTTTGTCATAACTATTTGCCTAATCTATAACTTTGCTCAAAATAAATATTCATATAACGTTAATTATTTACTCCGACTCTACAAGTATTTATTTATTAATCCTACACTATGTTGACATTTGACCTACACGTATATTCAAATGATAAAGAACCGTTAATTGTTGGCTAATAAAAATTTTTATTAATTATTAACCCTTAAATGACCAATGGGGTCCAGCGGACCCCAGATCCTTTAGAATGAAATGTTTTCAAATGTTCTTGCCAAAAATGGAGCTCATGCTACCATTGATGATAGTTGAGTGATTGACCTACCCGTGTGTACACTTAGCAGTACTCAGTTTACTTAATTTTTTATATTATGTCGAAATTGAAATTTGAACAATATTAGCATTTTATACTCTTCTCTAGACCTTGAACAACATTGAAAAAAATTGTCATAACTAAAGATAAAAAAATCAATGAGTAAGGAGACATTTTTCATGCTGGAGTCTTTTAGACCCCTCAGTGAACTTACGAGATTCTTGAGAGGTGTGGCATTTAAGGGTTAATCATCTATGTAATATATGTGGACGGCAGATTTGAGTTGTGCTATATAGATTTTATTAAATTGAGCTATTTAATTTGAATACCTATAAGAACTGGGTATAATATTATACATTTTATGGGTTTTCTAAGTAAGTACACAAACTTGAAGGAGATATTTCTTGGCTTATTTTAAGAAAAAAAAAGTTCTATAAACATGTGTTCTAAACTACTTTGTCTTCAAAACACATGGTGTCAAAAACACACGCCCCAGGTAGATTAAAAGATAATTCATCGATACTGGAAGATACATATTTCTTAATACCGCATATACGCATACTAAATTTAAATGAAATATCTTTAAACGTTTTCTAGATTTTCAAAGTTTTCATTTTTTTTTCACAATTTTGACATCTTGTATTTTGAAAACGAAATAGTTTAGGACACATGTTTAGAGAATTTTTTCTTTTTCAAATAAGCCAAGGAATATCCCCTTCAAGTTAGTTTACTTAGGAAACACTCTGTATATCTGTCTCGAATTTCTACAGTGTTAATGTCAACCAATAGACATCTAATTTAAATTTCTGGTCTATATCTATAATGCATAAAAAAACGTGAAATAATTGACTCTAATTTATTTAAATTATGCAAAATAATTGAAATATTATTTTTATTACTATTTGAGAAACGTATTTATGATCAAAATTGTAAATAAATATTATATGGATGACCTGATAAAAACTTGTATTCGCGTTTTATCTTTAGCTGCTGATTGTTTTATTGCATTTATTTTATAGTCTAATAATTTTAATAATTTTTTGAATGTGTACTTACTCATCTCGACTCAGGATTCTTGTGGAATGTCTTCTTAAATGTTTTCGTAAACGTACAATATTTGTTAAGAAGGACATTGTTTTACTGCAATCATTACATTTTGCGTTATATCCCGGTAACTCCGAGTAATATTCTCTCAAGTCGTCAGGTAGTGTATATGTGTCATTATTGAAAAATATTCCATGTCTATTTAAGTGTCCTATCATTATTGCTGTGTTGTTCGATGGATGAGGCATATAAATTTCCATTTTACAAATTGCGCACTTTACCAGCGAAGGTTTCAATTGCTCGAAATAATTCCACAACAAGCTGCGTTTTCTCTTCGGTGCCATTATGACTGACCTGTAATAAAGATTAATCGTCTGATACTAAATGTGATACAGTGAACGCCTTAAAAAAGGCTTGCAGAATTTCTCACAAAGGTCAAAAAAGGTATGATTTTTTTTACTGGGGCGTATGTTTATATGGATATGTAGTTCGAATTTATATAATTCAAATTTATATAATTATTAGATCACGTACAGATATACAAAAGTTACATTTTTCTGAAAAGGTAAATATCGTCAATAATCAAATGTACGTGCTCTATGGAACTCATTATTGGAAAAAATTCTGAAATAATACTTGATGTTATAATTTTATTTGTGTTTTTTACAATAAAGACAATCAGAATTTTTGCGCTAAGTGAATATGATAAATTAGTAACATCTGATGTTTCTTCAAAATATTTACAATAATATTCGGAAGTTTGCATTAAATAAATAGGATAAGTTAGTAGTAACATCTGATTTTCTTAAAGACCCAGACAGCAACGTGTCTACATTGTTGTGGCATGTTGCCAATAAAGATTGTGTATGGAGCACGTACACCTGGCATTTTATTTACTTTTTTAAGAAGGTACGTTTTGTACGGATATCACTCTTTTTTTACAATTACATGAAAACCATGGAAATATCAAACCTTTGACATATTAACTTGCAAATAAAAAAACGCGGACAATACAGAGGCCAACAATTGTTCTGCTGTATGTTAAAGTTCTGCAGAAGGATTTGTATCATAACCCGTTGAACTTGAAATGCTTGGTCTGCATCGAAATGTGTTGCAATTGAAAATGGAATTATATAAAATATTAACGTTATAAATTATCCTTTGCAGAAGAGTAAATATTTTAATAATAATATGTCATTATATTATGTGATACAAGCAAAACAAATAATTACCTATCACATGCCCTTGTTTCCTTTCTCGATTGTTCACACGTTTGAGGACCCAAGTCAACTGTTTTCTGACTTTGACGTTCTGCAGAAGGATTCATATTGCAATCCATTGAATTTGCAGTGCTTGATCTGCATTGAAATACGGTGCAATTAGAAATGGAATTATTTAAGACATTAACATTGGAAGTTATTCTTTTGAAAAAGAGTAAATATTTAAATATCAAGTTATCATTATATTGTATGACATAAGCAAAACGAATAATTACTCGTTAAGAACGCCTATTTTTTCTGTCGTTTCTTTAAATGATTGAACGGGCAAGCCAGATATATCTTGACTTTGACGTTCTGCAGAAAGATCCATACCATTATCCGCTAAACTTAAAGTGCTTGATCTGCATTGAAATACGGTGCAATTAGAAATAAAAAATATGTAAATAGAAATTATTTAAAATATTAAAGCTGTAAATTACTCTCTCGCAAAAAAGTAAACATTTAAATATCGAGATATCATTATATTGTATGACATAAGCAAAACGAATAATTATAATACTTGTTAATAGCGCCTGTTTTTTCTGTCGTTTCTTTAAATGATTAAACAGGCAAGCCAGATAGTTCTTCACTTTGACGTTCTACAGTAGGATACATAGTATCCTACAGCATAGTATAGCACAGCATTGAAATACGGTCAAATAGAAATAGAAACTATTTAAATAAAAATTATTTAAAACATTAACGTTGTAAATCATTACTTTGCAAAAGAGTAAATGTTTAAATATCAAGATATTACTATATTGTATGATATAAGCAAAACAAATAATTACTCATTAAGTTCGCCTGTTTCTTCTGCCGTTTTTTTAAATAATTGAATGGGGTAGAAATAAAATAGGAGTAGAATTTTCCGGGGAGTGCTATAGAGTGTATAGTTTTTTGTTATCTATTTTCTGGAAACCGATTTTTTTAATTCTTTACCCGTAAGAATTAGAAAAATTAAAAAATAGGCTTCCAGAAAATAGATAACGAAAAACCATACACTCTATAGCACTTTCCCGAAAATTCTACCCCTATTTTATATGCTTTTGATAAAAATTCGGTCCAATAGTTTTTAAGTTAAAAACGGCTAAACATACACCACCCGTAAGAATTTTATATAATAGTATAGAAGTATAGATTATACTTAAGAGAAAAAGTCTTGAAATAAGAACGGACTATGAATACGGGCTATATTGTAACTACTGTTTTTTCTGTTTTAAGATGGTTTTTCAATACAAACGTAAAACAGACCGTGCGAAATGGACAGAGACCAGTTCCAGTGATTCATCCGCTTTATCCCAGAGGGGTCGGGCCATAGCGGACAGTTTTCTTTTGCTTTAATTTTTTATTTTAAAGAGATTTAAATGTTTAACTTATTTATTTTTTTTCTTATTTTATTTGAAAGTTAATTACTTTGAGAGTATTATTAGAATAAAAAAAGTTTTTTTGATCTCAATTTTAACTGTCTTTTTTCTTGCTAAATCTTAACATATACGCGCTGGCCGGGCTTCCCCTGTATAAAATATTATATAAAATATGTTCATATATGTCCATACTATGTTTTCTTCTCTTGTATAATCTCTGTATGTACAAGAAAAATAATGAGAAAAAGATTTAGAAAATAATTCGTGTCCGTCGTCCTGACAAGTTCGTTGATTCCGTCTCTTTATATTTTTATTACTACGTTTACGCGAGCGTTACTTCTATAGTAACTTACGATAATTCCTTCGCGTAAACGGGATTTTGTAGTAACTTACGATAATTTACTTCGCCTAAACGAGTGATCTATCGTAGTTACTACAGAAGTAACGCTCACGTAAATGTAGTATGTATCTTTTCGGATGACATCTTATATACTTATATACTATTCTATATGGCTTTGTGATACTCTTGTTTCCCTGACTATCGGATATTAATTTAATAGTTAATGTCGGTTTTGAATCTCCGAATCCTGAAACTCATCTAACAAGAATGGAGAATGGAGTAATTAATTTATTTTTCTCGCTGAAGATGGCTCAATCTCGAGCCGAAACGTACGAATGTATATTACACTGGAAATAAATCAGTGATTCTGATCATTTACGCACCAATAACTGCGTCTGACTCTCATAGCCATACTTTTATCAATTTTTAGAAAATAATTAAAAGGATAATTTATGCATTGTTTTTTTACAAAAGAATAAAATCTGAGCAAATGTGAAAAATTTGCTCATATATAATTATATACAATTGTATTTTATATACAATTATCATTTATATGTCATATCATATCATACTATCATACTGTTATATAAAACCCGACTGTTTGTCTGTCCGTCCGTCCGTCTGTCCGTGAACTACTCATTCGTTAGTGGATCGAATTTTTACCAAAAGTATATGAAACAGGAGTAGAATTGTCCGGGGATCTGGCAACGTGTTTAGAATGTTCTAAAACGTCGAAAAATTACTTTTGTACAAAATGTTCTTGTGTATGTATGTATGTATGAGTGTATGTGTGTGTGTATGTTGTTGTCCGTATGTGCTCTAACTTCCGTAATTTTTTAGATATCGGGATGTATTTTTTTTTTTAATCGATAAAGTATCATGTAAGGAAGGTTGGGATTAAATTTGGCGATGATCGGTAAAGGGGTTCTTTTTTAAAAAAATTTTGAATTTTTGTAGAAATGTTTGTGTTTGCTCCAACTTCCGCAAACTTTGCGATATTGGTCTATTTCTACTTTTATTATATTCTTCAGTCTTTTCTACCCCTATTTCATGTATAATTCTTTAAGATTTGGTTGATTAGACCCAGCTTTATACGCGATCAAAGGTCCATAATTTTGATCGTATATAAAGCTAAGTCTAATCAACCGAATTTAAAAGAATTATATATAAAATAGGGGTAGAAAAAACCGAAGTAAAGATTGATTTTTGAGTTTCCGATGCCAATGTGTTGCTTATGTTCGAAAACGTCGAAAAATCATATAGTATCATTAAAGGTAGGTGTTGAATTATCTTTTTTTTTTGTTTATGGTATAACTTTTGTAATTTTTGAGATATTGGAATGTTTTTTTTTTAATTGATAGAGTATCATTCAAGGAAGGTTGGTATTGAATTTGGCGATGATCGGTAAAGGGGTTCTTTTTTTTTAATTTTGAATTTTTTTAGAAATGTCCGTGGTTGCTCTAACTTCCGCAAATTTGGAAATATCGATCAATTTCTAATTTTATTATATTTTTCAGTCTTTTCTACCCTTATTTCATATATAATTTTTTAAGATTTGGTTGATTAGACTTAGCTTTATATCAAAAACAAAATTAATATAAACAAAAAAGTATAATTAAAGAAAGTTAAGGAAGGATAGAGGCAGCTAGACTTGTAGAAGAAAAGTAAGAAGAAGATGCAGCTTGTAAATTTTATGAAAAAAATTTGAAAAAAAATTGTGCAAATTAGAAATTTGCACTTGGCTTCCTCATCAAATTGAGACGTGGAAATTTGCACATAGCAAAGTCACAATTTTTAAGTGAGAGAGTAGAAAATTAGCAAATTGAATCCATCAACGTATTGCTACGCGCGAAAAACTTCCTCTATGAGGAAGCCAAACTAAAAATTATGCATCTAATAAAATACAAGATTCCTCATAGAGGAGCTTTGAGCGTGTAGCAATACGTTGTGGATTCAATTTGCTAATTTCCTACTTTCTCACTTCAAAATTGTAACTTTGCTATGTGCAAATTTCCACATCTCAATTTAATGAGGAAGCCAAGTGCAAATTTCTAATTTGCACATTTTTTCCTAATATACTTATAATTTAAAATAAAGGCTGTCTTAATGTGAGTACGCGTTTAAACATAAGCCGGATACTGTCATCAATCAAAACGGTCAAAAGTGATGTATAAAATATTATCAGGAAAAATGGTAGAATATGCAAGAATAAATTAGGTTGGTGCTATATACATATATACAATAATAACTTGAGAATAACAAATAATGAATATCACTATGCTGACATTTGCAGACCTACAACGTATATTCAAATACTTATATAAATTTTATTAAATATAGAGTTTTTAATATAATATTTATAAGAACTATGTATAAATTGTACATTTTATATATCTACCTTTAATTTCTGCAATACTAATGTCAAACAAATAAATATCTAATGTAAATAAATATCTAATCTAAATTTCTAAATTGTCTATATCTAGAATGCATGGAAGAACGTGAATATAAACAATTCGTATTTATTTAAATTATATTTGCGAACTAATTGAAATATTATTATTATTACTATTATTTGAGAGGCACATTTATGATCAGAATTGCAAATAAGTATTATAAGGATGCTTTAATAAAAAAATTTTTCGCAGAATTTTCTTTAGCTATTGATTGTTTTGTTATTACATACATTTTATAATCTTTAGTATTAAAATGATTTTTGATTGTGTACTCATCTCGACTATGGATTCTTGTGGAATGTATTCTTAAATGGTATCTTAAAGATCTGTTATTTGTTAAAAAGAAATATTTTGCCACAATCATGACATTTTGCCTTATATCTCAATAACTCCGAGTAATATTGCCTTAAGTCGTCAGGTAGTGTGAGAGTGTCATCATCGAGAGATATTCCATGTTTTATCAATAAGTGTATAAGTGTGTATAAAGTCAATAAGTGTCGATGCCGTAACCTTTCTGTAATACAGACTGTCTGATATTAAATGTGGTACAGTGATTGGCTCAACAAGCGTTTGTAGAATATCTCACAAAGGTTATAAAGAGACATGATCCACTTATTAGGATGTATGTTTATACGGATATATAGTTAAAATTTTCATAATTACCAGATCGCGTACAGATCTTGAAACATATCTTTTTCCATTAGAAGGATAAAAAACGTACCAAGTGAATGTGCACATTTATGATCAAAATTGCAAATAAATATTATATGGATGCCCTGACAAAAACTTTTATTCGCTCAATTTTCTTTAGTTATTGATTTTATCATTACATTTATTTTATAATCTTTAGTATTTTAATAATTTTTGGAATGTGTACTTACTTATTTCGACTTTGGATTCTTATGGAATGTCTCCTTCTTAAATGTTCTTGTAAATTTCGCATATGTTTTAAGAAAGACACTGTTTTGCCACATTTTTTACATTTTGCCTTATATCCCGGTAACACTGAGTAATATTGCCTTAAGTCGTCAGGTAGTGTGACAGTGTCATCATCGAGAAATATTCCATGTTTATTTAATAAGTGTACTCTCATTATTCTTGTGCGTTCTTTTAGATGAAGTACCTTAATTTCTTTTTTACAGGTCGTGCACTTCACCAGCGAAGGTTTCAATTCCTCGAAATAATTCCAAAATTTGCTGCGTTTTTTTCTTGATCCCTTTCTGTAATACAGACTGTCTGATATTAATTGTGGTACAGTGATTGGCTCAACAAAGGTTTGTAGAATATCTCACAAAGGTCATAAAGAGACATGGTTCACTTATTAGGATGTATATGTTTATACGGATATATAGTTAAAATTTTAATAATTACCATATCGCGTACAGATCTTGAAACATATCTTTTTCAATTAGAAGGATAAAAAACGTACCAAATATACGTGCACATTTATGATCAAAATTTGAAATAAATATTATATAGCGATGCTGACAAAAACTATTATTCGCTCAATTTTCTTTAGTTATTGATTGTTTTATTATTATATTTATTTTATAGTCTTCAGTATTTTAATAATTTTTTGAATGTGTACTTACTCATCTCGACTCAGAATTCTTATGGAATGTTTTCTTAAATGTTTTCGTAAATATCCCGTATTTGTTAAAAAAGACAATGTTTTGCCACAATTTTTACATTTTGCCTTATATCCCGGTAACTCCGAGTAATATTGTTTTAAGTCGTCAGGTAGTGTGAGAGTGTCATCATCGAGAAATATTCTATGTTTATTTAATAAGTGTCTTCTCATTGTTTTTATGCGGTTTGTTAGTCCATATATCTCAATTTTTTTTTTACAGGTTGTGCACTTCACCAGCGAAGGTTTCAATTCCTCGAAATAATTCCACAACTTGCTGCATTTTCTTCTCGGTGCCGTAACTTTTCTGTAATACAGACTGTCTGATATTAAATGTGGTACAGTGATTGCCTCAGCAAGCGTTCGTAGAATTTCTCACAAAGATAAAAAAGAGACATAGTTTATTTATTAGAATGTACGTTTATACGGATATGTAGTTTGAATTTACCCAACTACCAGATCTCGCACATAGATCTCCAAACTTACCTTTTTCCAAGAAAGATAAAAAACGCGCCAAGTATACGTGATCCATACAACACCTTTATCAAAGAGAGAAAATTTTGATCTAATTTGATTTCATAATGCCATTTGTATTTTTTTGCTACAAAAACAATAATATCAAAAGGTTTGCGCCAAGTAAATATGATAAGAAACACTTGGCGCCAAATGTCTTTTGTGTGTGAATCTAAATAATAAAAAAACAGTACAGGTTGTGTACCTTTTGATATCATTATTTTTGTAGTAAAAAATATGTAATTATAAAACCAAATTTGATCAAAATTTTTTAAAATAAAGTTTGTGTATAAAGCACGTATACACACAACTGTCAAAATATACGATGACAGCTGCAAATGAAGTAAGCGCAGCGAGAGAACCAATTGGCATCGCGGAAAAGCGGCAACAAAAAGCTTCGAGATATGAGAGTATCGACTTAACATGCCTTTTTTAGAAAGGAAGGAATATGCAGGGAACCATGAAAATATAAAACTTTTGATATATTAATTTGCAAATAAAAAAACGCGGACAACACAGAAGCAAAGGTATTGTTCTGCAGTATTTTAACGTTCTGCTGAAGGATTCGTATGGGTAAACGTTGAACTTGAAATGTTTGGTTTGCATTGAAATACGGTGCAATTAGAAAGATAGAATTATTTAAAATCACAGGTTTGCGCGATTTTGATCAGACACGCTTTGCTTTCTGGGAATTTATTTTATTTGTTTGATGCAAACTTTCGGGTATCATTGTTTTTGTAGCAAGAATAGTTATTTGTGTAACAAGTGAGGTAACTCGCCTTCGGCTCGTGCGTAAACTTCGCACCCGGGAATTTTCATCTTTACACACGACTTACACTCCCTATTTTATATTGCAAGTGCCTGGAAAGTGGTCTATCACGCACGCGTAACGTGCGTAATGGGGCACTTTCCATGCACGTGTTACATAAAAACAGTTATAATTGTATGACAAAATTAGATCTAATTTTTTTTTAATAAAGATTGTGTATGGAGCACGTATATACCTGGCGCATTTTATTCACTGTTTTTTAAAAAAGATATGTTTTATACGGATATCACTCCTTTTTCACAATTACATAGAAACCATGATATGATAATATAAAACTTTTGATATATGAATTTGCAAATAAGAAAACGTGGACAATACAGAAGCAAAAGTATTTTTCTGCAATATTTTAATGTTTTGCAGAAGGATTCTTTTCATAAGCCGTAGAACTTGAAATACTTGGTCAGAATCGAAATGAGGTGCAATTAGAAATGGAATTATATAAAATATTAACGTTAAATTATTCTATAATAAATTATTCTTTTCAGAAGAGTAAATATTTCAACGATATATCATTATATTGTATTATATATAAACAAACAAACAATTACCCATCACGTGCCCTTGTTCCTTTTCTCGAGTGTTCACATGTTTGGAGATCTAAATCAACTATTTCCTGACTTTGACATTCTGCAGCAAAATTTGTGTTATAATCCCATGAACTTGAAGTGCTTGGTCTGCATTGAAATACGGAGCAATTAGAGATCGAATTATTTAAAATATTAACATTGTAAATTAATCTTTTGCAAAAGAGTAAATATTTAAATATCAAGATATTATTATATTGTATGATATAAGCAAAAGGAATAATTACTCATCAAGTGTGCCTGTTTTTTCTGTCGTTTCTTTAAATGATTGAACGGGCAAATTAGATAGTTCTTCACTTTGACGTTCTGCAATAGGATCCACACTATAATCCGCTAAACTCGAAGTGCTTGGTCTGCATTGAAATACGGTGCAAATAGAAATAGAAAATATTTAAATGAAAATTATTTAAAACATTAACGTTGTAAATCATTACTTTGCAAAAGAGTAAATATTCAAATATCAAGATATTACTATACCGTATAATATAAGCAAAACAAATAATTACTCATTAAGTTTGCCTGTTTCTTCTGCCGTTTCTTTAAATGATTGAACGGGCAAACCAGACGTATCTTGACTTTGACGTTCTGCAGAAGGATCCATACCATTATCCGCTAAACTTGAAGTGCTTGGTCTGCATAGAAAAGTGGTGTGATTAAAATTAGAAAAAGGTAATAATTATTAAAATACTACAACTGTACGTATTACTTAATGCTATTATATGTACTTATTATTGGGAATGGCTAAACTGCGATACGCTATCTGGTGGCGAAAACAGAACTAAAAAGAGTAGGTCGCCGGCTGCCACATAAATAAATCGACTTAAAAAACTATACACATAGTGGCACTCCCCGGAAAATTTTACCCCTATTTCATATACTTTTGGTAAAAATTCGGTTCAGGGAATAAGCACATACGTCGTATTGTAGAGTGACAAGTGACCTACTCTCTCCGGCCATTTTGCCTTGTGACCGCCAATCCCAATAGGTAAACCGCAATGGAGTAAAATGTTTTGTAAGTGAGAGTGAGAAGAAGAAAGGAAGAGAAAGAGATAAAGAGAGAATGTTTCATATCTCGAATTTCTGTAATGCTAATGTCAAACAATTAATGTCTAGACTGAATTTGTGATTAATAGATAAGTGAAATACGACCAATATGATATAAAATTAAGTTAGGGAGAAACGCTATTTTAAGATAATTGTTCTATTCTAGCTTTAGTTGAGATGAAGAATACCCCGGTAAAAAATGTTTTATATAAAAACATATTTAAATATATATAATCATATAATATTAAAGGAATGCCCCTGGCAATTAAAGCGGATAGGCATTTTTTGCTCATCTATATTAGATATAGATATTAGATATCTCTGCAGGAAAAAGGAGCGACCTGTCGCCGTCAGAACACGTGATTGCTCTCGTGCGTTTTTTATGAGGAAAAAATAAATTATGTGTGTTTTCTTGCAATTTTTGCTAAGGTAGCGTAGCTTGATTATTAGTAGTAATTGTTCCTTAACCACTATGAATGTTTTTTTTATTAGAATTTTCTGTTTTTAAAACTCTATTGGGTTTAAAATTTTTCACTTGTTGCTCATACTTATTTTAACTTTTGTACATTGCTTTCTCATAGTTTTTAAGTGTGCAAGTAGAAACTTGTTTAAGTGGAGCAAGTAGAAACTTGCACATTGCTTCCTTATAGTTTTTAAATGTCCTCTATGAGGAAGCCAAATTAATAAATATTTACTAATAATTATGCATAAAAAAATAGGCTTCCTCATAGAGGAAGCAATGTGCAGGTTTCTACTTGCACATTTAAAAACTATAAGGAAGCAATGTGCAAGTTTCCACTTGCACACTTAAAAACTATGAGAAACCAATGTAGAAGTTTCCACTTGCACACTTAAAAACTATAAGGAAGCAATGTACAAGTTTCTACTTGCACATTTTTTATTAGAATTCTCTGTTTTTAAAACTCTATTGAGTTTAAAATTTTTCACTTGTTGCTCATACTTATTTTAACTTTTCCAAGTTCACGCCAAGTAGGTGCTTTGGGCAAAGCGGATAAATCATATTCTTTTTGGTCACAGACTGGTATTCTGGGTATTTCTAGTCAGATTTTATATTTAAAACTGTCTTAAATACAATCTTAAGATGTCATAGAATGTCATAAACCAATTACAGAGCCGTATTAGCATCTTTAAGACATTATACTTAAGAGAGTCTTGAAATAAGAACAGATTATGAATACAAGTCATATTGTGACTGCCGTTTTTTTCTGTTTTAAGATGGTTTTTACAAATGTAAAACAGACCAAGCGAAATAAACGGAGACCAGTTCCAGTGATCCATCCGCTTTACCCAGAGGTGTCGGGCAAAGCAGACAGTTTCTTTTACTTTAATTTTTGATTGCAAAGAGGTTTAAATATTTAACTTTTTTATTTTTTTCTTATTTTATTTGAAAATTGATTACTTTAAGAGAATTATTAGAATAAAAAAGGTTTTGATCTTTAACTGTGTCTGTCTTCTTGCTTTAACCTTAACATATCCGCGTTGCCCAGGCTTCCCTGTATGAAATATTATATAAAATATGTCCATAATATGTCCATACTATGTTTTTTTCTCTTGTATAATTTCTGTTTGTATGTATAAAAAAAAATAATAAAGAAAAAAATTAGAAAATAATTAAAAAGATAATTTTTGCATTGTTTTTTTACAAAAAAATAAAATCTGAGCAAATGTGAAAAATTTGCTCATATATAATTATATATAATTGTATTTTATATACAATTATTACATTTATATATAGTTATATATAGGCAAATAAATGAACAGTGCGAAAATTATCCTTTTAATTATTTTCTAATTCTTCTTTTTTATTATTATTTTTCTTGTACATACAAACTGCAGAGATTATACAAGAGAAAAAAACATATATGGACATATTTTATATAATATTTTATATAATATCATATAATTAGGTATGTTTAAATATGTTTTTATATGAAAAATTCTTTACCGGGACATAAATTCACAAAAATAACTTTATTAGACTATCAAATCTTGTCTTGATTGTAAAATGGCTTATCTCCCTAATTAAACTTATGATATTTTGTTGAACATTATAATAACGTTTTCCATAATTTGATTGTACTATGTCCGTCGTGTTTTACTTATTTACTGGTTATATACGTCGCTTGAAAAAAACGTTTTTCCTAAAATACATACAATTTAAAATAGAAGCTACCTTAATATGAGTACGTGTTTAAACATAAGACGAATACTATCATCAATTAAAACGGTCGAAAGTGATGGAATATTTTCAGGAAAAATTGTAGAATATGCCAGAATAAATTAGGTTGGTGCTATATACATATACATTGCAATAATAACTCAAGGATAACAAATAATGAATATCACTATACTGACATTTGTAGACCTACAACGTATATTCAAATACTACAAAGAACGATTGATTGTTGGCTAACAGAAACTTTTATTAATTATTATTCATCTACGTAATCAGTAGATGGCAGATTTGAGAGTTGTCTTATATATATATATATTAGATTCTATTAAATATATAAAGCTATTTAATTTAAATATCTATAAGAACTAAGTATAAATCGTACATTTTATATATCTCCCTCAAATTTCTGCAATACTAATGTCAAACAAATAAATATTTAATGTACATAAATATTTATTTGTTTGCCCTGACAAAAACTATTATTCGCTCAATTTTTTTTAGTTATTGATTGTTTTATCATTACATTTATTTTATAATCTTTAGTATTTTAATAATTGTTTGAATGTGTACTTACTTATTTTGACTCTGGATTTTTATGGAATGTCTTTTTCTTAAATGTACTCGTAAAGTTGCCACATTTGTTAAAAAAGACACTGTTTTACCACAATCTTTACATTTTGCCTTATATCCCGGTAACTTCGAGTAGTAATGTTTTAAGTCGTCAGGTAGTGTGAGAGTATCATCATCGAGAGAAATTCCATGTACATTAAATAAGTGGGCTCTCATTTTTTTTGTGCAATTTGTTTGATGAGATACCTTAATTTCTTTTTTACATGTCGTGCATTTCAACAGCGAACGTTTTAATTCCTCGAAATAATTCCACAACTTGCTCCATTTTTTTATCGATGTCATAACTGTTCTGTAATACATATTGTTTAATATTAAATGTGGTACAGTGTTTGGCTCAGCAAGCGTTCGTAGAATTTCTTGCAAAAGTAAAAAAGAGACATAGTTTATTTATTAGGATGTACGTTTATACGGATATATAGTTTGAATTTACATAATTACCAGATCTCGCATATAGATCTCCAAACTTACCTTTTTCCAAGAAAGATAAAAAAAGTGTGCTAGTAGAAACTTGCACATTGCTTCCTCATAGTTTTTAAATGTGCAAGTAGAAACCTGCACATTGCTTCCTTATAGTTTTTAAATGGGCAAGTAGAAACTTGGGTAAATGTTTACAATTAGGGCCTGACCTCCGATGACCTTGACTTTGACATATGTTGTCAAGGTCACCCTCCTGAGTGATCTTTAAAAGATTTTAGTCGGGGGTCGCTTCTTATTAAAAAGTTATAAACAAAAAAAGTTTCGAAAATATAGCAGTTATTTTAAGTACTGTGAGGCATAAACGACTAATATTACGTTTTTCTTTAAAGCAGAGAATACTTTATTTCGCGAGAAAGTCGCTGCTTTACCAAAACACAACATTTAAAGTAGTAAATTGTTGATAAATGGAAGTCTTTTTGTTAAAGCAGAGAATACTTACATGGGTTAGATGACGCGCTTTAAACAGTTGAATACTTTTAAAGCGCGTCATCTAACCCATGTGGCATCTCGCATATTAACTTTCCACGCATGAAAAGTTCACGCATACACTTTCCACGCGAACCGAGTTTTACGCATACCCCTCCTGCTTTCGGGGAAAGTGCGGTAGCACTGAAATAGTTCACGCATACACTTTTCACGCGAACCGAGGTTCACGCACACCCCTCCCAAAAGCAGGGGGGGTGTGCGTGAACCTCGGTTCGC